CTGAAAAACATTGCAAATAGTGTGCGGGTTCAAGGGAGGTAACTTTTGGGTTAAAAAATTTAATTAGAGTGTCGTCTGCTGATAACATGACAAATGACATAAGGGTTCAAAAAGGAAATAACTGTTTCCCTAAAATAGAGTTGGTTAGAGTGACTTCCCTTGAAAAAATTGCAAATGACGTAGGGGTTCATAAGGGAGGTTACAGTTGCTTTAAAAAAATTAGGTAAGAATGACCTCCCCTGAAAAGATTGCAAATGGCTTAAGGGTTCATAAAGGAGGTAACTGTTGCATTTCAAGAGTCGGTCAGAGTCATTTCCCTTGATAACATTGCAAATGACATAAGTGTTCAAAGGGAGGTAACCGTTGCATTTTGAAAAAGAGTCGATCAGAGTGACCTCCCCTGATGACATTGCAAATGACGTAAGGGTTCAAAGGGAGGTAACTGATGTCCTCATAAAAAGAGTCGATCAGAGTGACTTCCCCTGATGACATTGCAAATGGCGTAAGGGGTCAAAGGGAGGTAACTGTTGCGGTGAAAAAAGAGTCGATCAGAGTGACCTCCCCTGATGACATTGCAAATGACGTTAGTGTTCAAAGGGAGGTAACTGATACGCTCATAAAAAGAGTCGATCAGAGTGACCTCCCCTGATGACATTGCAAATGACGTTAGGGTTCAAAGGGAGGTAACTGATACGCTCATAAAAAGAGTCTATCAGAGTGACCTCCCCTGATGACATTGCAAATGGCGTAAGGTTTCTAAGGGAGGTAACTGATGCGCTCATAAAAAGAGTCAATCAGAGTGACCTCCCCTGATGACATTGCAAATGGCGTAAGGGTTTAAAGGGATGTAACTGTTGCGCTCATAAAATAGTCGATCAGAGTGACCTCCCCTGATGACATTGTAAATGACGTAAGGGGTCAAAGGGAGGTGACTGTTGCGGTGAAAAAAATAGCAATCAGAGTGACCTCCCCTGATGATATTGCAAATGGCGTAAGGGGTCAAAGGGAGGTTACTGTTGCGGTGAAAAAAAATAGCCGATCAGAGTGACCTCCCCTGATGACATTGCAAATGGCGTAAGGGGTCAAAGGGAGGTAACTGTTGCGGTGAAAAAAGAGTCGATCAGAGTGATCTCCCCTGATGACATTGCAAATGACGTTAGTGTTCAAAGGGAGGTAACTGATACGCTCATAAAAAGAGTCGATCAGAGTGATCTCCCCTGATGACATTGCAAATGACGTTAGTGTTCAAAGGGAGGTAACTGATACGCTCATAAAAAGAGTCGATCAGAGTGACCTCCCCTGATGACATTGCAAATGACGTTAGGGTTGAAAGGGAGGTAACTGATACGCTCATAAAAAGAGTCGATCAGAGTGACCTCCCCTGATGACATTGCAAATGGCGTAAGGGTTTAAAGGGATGTAACTGTTGCGCTAATAAAATAGTCGATCAGAGTCACCTCCCCTGATGACATTGCAAATGGCGTAAGGGGTCAAAGGGAGGTAACTGTTGCGGTGAAAAAAAAAGATTCGATCAGTGACCTCCCCTGATGACATTGCAAATGGCGTAAGGGTTTAAAGGGAGGTAACTGTTGCGGTGAAAAAAAGAATCGATCAGAGTGACCTCCCCTGATGACATTGCAAATGACGTTAGTGTTCAAAGGGAGGTAAGGTTTCAAAGGGATGTAACTATTTCGCTCATAAAAATAGTCGATCAGAGTGACGTCCCTTGATGACATTGCAAATGGCGTAAAGGGGGGGGGGGGTACTTTAGCATTTAAAATAGAGTCAGTAATACTGACGTCCCTTGGCAACAATACAAACGGCGTAAGAGTTCAAAACAACTTTGCCTAATTTGAATATAAGAATTTAAAAAAAAAAAATCTGTATTTAGTCTTTTGAAGCACGTCCTTAATAAGATTTTATTTCTCAACTCCTAAAAATATTTCTCATAATTAGGATTTTAATATCTGAAAAAAAAAACGCCTTTGTTAATGTTGTCATTATATTAGAGACTTTCGACCATGCGACCACATACATGCATCGAGGACATGTTTGAAAGAAAGTGACCGTGCGACCACATACACGCATCACAAGATCCCCCTTCTCTTTCAGAAAGGGACAAAGAGTTTGTCCGCCCTTTTACTAAAGGGCAGACTTAAAAAATGCCATTGCCTTATGATATTGATAAGGAGGCTAATTTTCACATATATGTCTTGAATTGGTTTATATACAACAATAGTTACGCAAACCAAGCGGGTTTATCAGTTAACGTCTTTTTAAGTCCGCTATGAAATTTTAAAAGGATAATATTTAACTTTTTGGAAAATTTTGAGTTTAAAGTTTTTTCTACTTTTCATTCTATGGATATAACAGAATTATTTCAATTTTCCAAAACATGAACGTTTCAAAAACGTTTTATATGCATTAAATATTGGAGATATATTTCACACGTTGTTTTCAAATATTAACCCGGGGGCATTTTTGCCGGAGTACTGTCCCAGGACGATAACTTAAGCCTATGTTTACATAAACATTAATACCAATGCGAAAAAAAAGGTAAAACCATAAAAATGAAACACAAAGTAAACGTCACAATTTCATGTGCCTTGATAGCGCAGTAGGCAGAGCGTCCGTGTCAGTGTTTTCATGCATTTAGATGTTCGTATCATAGTTACCTAGGTACCTTTACATTTGAGTGTTTTATCATGTATCTTTTTCTTATTTAACCAGTTTTGTTTTGTTATTTTTCAAAATTATTTTTTGTCCAGAGCATAACTCAGAAAGCCTTTGAGATTTCAACATGAAACTTCATAGGTACATAGATCTCACTCAGGAGGTGTGCAGTGCACAAGAATGATAACTCTACCTTTCATAATTTTTGAGTTATTGCCCTTTGTTATTTTTCATACTTAATTTTTCACCTGAGTGGAGCATAACTCAAAAGTGTTTGAGATATCAACATGAAATGTCATAGGTGGATAGATCTTATTGAGGAGGAATGCTGTGCGCAAGAATGATAACTCTTCCCTATATATTTTTTTGAGTTATTGCCCTTTGTTCTTTTTCATACTATTTTGTCTGGAGCTTATCTCAAAAAGTATTTGAGGTATCAACTTGAAACTTCATAGGTGGATAGATTTTACTGAGGAGGGGTGCAGCACACAAGAATGATAACCTACCCTGCATTATTTTTCAGTTATTGCCCTTTGTTATTTTCAGCCATCAGTATTCACATAGGTTTCAAATCTGTAATCACTTCAGCCATTAGTTTTCATTACCAAAATACCTCTTAAAATTGAATTATTCTGCTCTACTACATATACATTCTTCTAATGAGCAAACCCATTCGGCGGGGAATGGCCATGTTGACATGGCTCTTGTTCTTGATGGACCTCGAAATGGAATTTATGTGAATCATTTCCTTATTGAAACTTTAAAATAATTATTCATGCCAATGTCTATTGAAACCTATCACGTGACTATTGGATATCTTTAATAGTTTCCAGTTCAAATTGGACAACTTCAGTTAGAATTTCATAATTTTCAATAAATTTCTACATGAAGCTAAATATAATTGAGCCGTGTCACGACAAAACCAACATAATGGAATTGCGACCAGCATGGATCCAGACCAGCTTACGCATCCGCACTTACCAACCCTTTTACAAGTCGAGAAACTGATAGCGAACAGCATGGATCCTGATCAGACTGCGCAGATGCGCAGGCTGGTCTGGATCCATGCTGGTCGCAAACCCATTTGGATTATTTTGTTTTAAAAATAACTTAATTATAAGGTTGAATGAAGTTGACATTTTCAGTGTTTTTTCATTAGTCGATTTTTGTTTATGGTTTACGTCAGCAATAAACATCTTTTTATTGGTCGCTTCTGTTTTTGGCGGTAGATTTACGTCAGCAATAAACATCTTTTTATTGGTCGCTTCTGTTTTTGGCGGTAAATATTTTTGACCATTTGTTTCCTGGGCATTTTGGTCATTCTGTATTTCGTCGACTTAGAGATCACATGTTTTGATAATTGAAAAATTTTACCCACCCTTCCCTCCCAATTAATATGTTGATAGTTAATATTATATTATATATTATATTGATTAATATATGTATTTTATTAAAATTTAGATATTGCTTTTTGGTAAATATTACTCTTGTAGTAATCATTATGCTCACAAATAGACATTCAAACAAGTTATGATGTGAGTTATAAATGTCTTAAATGCATAATATGAGTGTGTTCTCATACAATGTTTGTATGAATTTGTCTATGATCACTTGTATATGAAATAGATGAACTATATATGTGGTGAATGTTATGTATGAATTTGATTCATGTGATCTCTCAATTGCCTAAAAATATATATTCATATGACTAAAATTTTCTTTTGTTATTTTTTCTGATTGAAAACTGATAATTATGTTAGTTTTGTCGTGACACGGCTCATATCTGTGTTTTCTATGATAAAAATATTTTGCTCAATGATGAGCATAGTGTATCTTTAAGACGGCATTGCTTATCGTGTTAATCTTTCATACATTTTTTAATTGATAGCAATCAGCGAATTGTTTGGAGAAAGGATAAGTAGGTTCCATTGCCAGCATCTTTCAGTTCAAAACAAGAATGACATTATTAAAGTTTATATCAAAATGTTACACTCTGTAGGTTCTTAAAATGACTTTCTTTTAACTTCATGTGCGAGTTGTTTTGGAAGATAACCTCTCATAGTGGTTGAAATATCCGACTGATGAAAAGGAAAATATGAAAATATTTTCTAGAGGCTCATCATACCAAGAAACAAAATGTGACCATTTCAAATTGTCTTCTAAGAATTGAAGACACACTCAACGTGCATACTGTAGGTCTGCTAAATGAGAATGCTAAAATATCTTAAACAACAATATATGCATTGAAAATCAGATTAAACAAGTTATTATTGATTGGTTTTTAGAAAAATTTCGAATTCGGTACGGGCATTTTATGTACAGATAATGTACGGTTATACGGGGTTTATACAACTTTGGATAATATCCGAGTTCACCGAATAATATTATTTTCGTTAGCAACGACTCGTCAAAATGGTAAGTCTTTTTTTCTTTTTTTTTTTGCTCTTTTTTACATAAACTTTTTATATATTTGCAACAATGAACTATATTTTTAATTCCTCTAAGACATAGTACATTTGAAAAATATATACTTATTGCCTTTTTTCATTTCAGTCGAAGGGAACAACAATAAAAGATGCTATCGCCAAGTTTGTAAGTAAAATAGATCATTTTTCATGTTTTTATTATAAAATGGAAGTCTTCAAAGCACTTAGTAAATCGTGAATTGTACTGAGGTTGTAATTAATTCACAAACTTGTTCACCCAGTGTTTCACTAAAATAGATCAGTTTTGGGCAATGAACATAAACACATTATCCTATAGAGCATCTGCATTATAATTTGTATCTATTTGGGAACCATAAATCAAACCTACATAAAGTCGTCTTTCAAGATCCTTTGTATCTTTGTGTAGAATGCACATTCTACATTGTAGTTTGAAGCACAAACACATGACATGTTAATATAGAATGAGTAGAATGCTCTTTACCATGTTTACTGCTACCCCATCATAGCGCATGTCGAAAATTGAAATATTGCAGCCATTTTTATCTGAGACTTAATGAAATGTGCCGTGGGGAGGCAGGACACTCATGTTTGTATATTGGTTAGGTGACAGCACGGCCATTATCAAGGCTTTGAACAAAACAAAAGCAGTTAAGCCGTGGCATGATAATTAAGCAATAGATTAGATTAATCATACTAGTTACAGAAACTTCAAGTCTATTTATATATACTAGTAAAGTGCATTTTCCCATTTCTTTAGTATTAATTGCACCAATGTGGATTTACGAGGGTGAAAGAGGACCTTGCCTACAGTTAAGTTTGATGGGCAAACCTATTATTCCATATTTGGACTCCAGTGCTCAACTTTTTACTTGTGTCACCTACTTTCAAATAACTCTTACAATATTGTAATTACAAAATTTTGACAGGAGGAAAAGGAAGGCTGCAAAGCAAGTGAAGCTGCACATGTGGTCATGTATGCACAAATTCCACCAGTAGAAAAGATGGATGCATCACTGTCAACATTGGCAAAATGCGAGTAAGTGTTCTTTCTCTTTAGGTGACAAAATCTTTTATTGTATACAATTTTTTTAATGTTATTTCTCCTATTTAATAATTTTCAAACAGTTATTCTCTGTATCTGAAAGTCTTGTACAGCCGTTGACATTATTATGAAATTAGCTGTTATTTGTAGAGAAACAGGATATAACTGAAGAAATACAGACAAGTATATAATGCTGAAGCCCAACAGTTTAAGGTGGTAATAAGGCTTTGCCGCAAAACATTTACCAAATATTTTGGTTTGTGATGGCTGCTGGTGTTTGATTCTTTCAGAAAAGAACTTCTGAAAACTTACATCTTCATTGATTCATTTATTTTTCTATTTATCTCTTATATTTAAGTATGTATATGAAAATTTTTATTTGAATATTTAGCTGAATTGCAGTTCTTTTGCAAAGAAAATCTATGGTAAAAAAACTTCCTGGGGATTTGATATTTTAATGACAAATAACACATTATAAATTTTTGAAAAATAATACAGTATCATTCAACAAGTGATTAATTTGTACATATTAGGTTATGTCCATGTGTTAAAGGTATGTATCTTGAATTGAATATAAGGACTTGTTGTATGATTCACATATTATGTAACAGTGGGCTTAAAATACATGTCACAAATAAATCACAATTCCTGTTGTTAAAAAGAAATATTTCTTTAAAAAAAGATGTTACTACTAAATTAATGACTGTCACTTCTGACTGTCAACTTTTATTCAGAATGATGCTTTAATACTATTTCTTTAAATGTGATAGTATTTTATGCTATTATCAATTTTAGAAAATGAAATTTGGTTGAATTGTTTATTTCTTAAAGATGGTGCACATATTTATAGAGTTAAATTTACAGAACTAAGCTCAAATTCTATCTTGAAAAGCAAATCAAAATAGCTCTATATAAGATTCTTATATATTATTTTACAGGAAATAATTATTTTTTACAGAATATGTGAATCATGACATTTATGTTAGGAGACTTGTCTTAAATAGAAAAGGAACACAAAAAATATTGTTTAAAACAGGGTCTTTTTTAACCAGGTTTTCCGAAGTAAAAAACTGGTTATTAGATTGAGGTATGTCGGCTGGCGGGCGGGCGTAAACACTTTCTTCTGTGCGCAACTCCTCCTACATTTCTCAACAGATTTTGACCAGACTCACACAGAAGCTTTGTCATCAAGTGCCCTGGCGCATATTGTCGGGGTTTTGTGATTGGATAATATTTGACCTAATTATGGCCCTTTGTTTTTTTTCCTTATATAGAATATATAGTGAACAATTTCTTCTATGCGCAACTCCTCCTACATTTCTCAACAGATTTTGACCAAACTTTAACAGAAGCTTTGTCATCAAGTGCACTGGTGTATATTGTTGGTAGTTTTTTGATTGGATAATATTTGACCTAATTATGACCCTTTGTTTTTTTTTCCTTATATAGAATATATAGTGAACAATTTCTTCTGTGGGCAACTCCTACATTTCTCTACGGATTTTGACCAAACTTTCACAGAAGCTTTGTCATCAAGTGCCCTGGCGCATATTGTCCGGATTTTGTGATTGGATAATATTTGACCTAATTATGGCCCATTGTTTTTTTCCTTATCTAGTATATATAGTGAACAATTTCTTCTGTGTGCAACTCCCTCATTTCTCAACGGATTTTGACCAAACTTTCACAGAAGCTTTGTCATCAAGTGCCCTGGCGCATATTGTCGGGGTTTTGTGATTGGATAGTATTTGACCTAATTATGGCCCTTTGGGTTTTTTCCTTATTTAGAATATATAGTGAACAATTTCTTCTGTGCGCAACTCCTCCTACATTTCTCAACGGATTTTGACCAAACTTTCACAGAAGCTTTGTTATCAAATGCCCTTGCGCATATTGTCGGGGTTTTGTGATTGAATAATATTTGACCTAATTATGGCCCTTTGTTTTTTTTCCTTATACAGAATATATAGTGAGCACTTCTTCTCTATGCAATTCCTCCTACATTATTCATGATTTACATTGCACATAGTTACATTGTTTGTTGCTTGTATTTGTATTTCAACTACAACATATTTATCTACAATGGTGATAATTGAAAACCTGGTTTCGTGGCATTGCCATGTTTCTTGTATTGTATGGATAATTTAACAAATAAGTAACTGTAAGGGAAGTAACTGGCTATGGCTATTTTTCTAAGGGAAGTAACTGGCTAATTTAATTTGCTAAGGGAAATAACCAGCTATGGCCATTTTCACTAAGTGAAGATCGAATTAACTGGCTATGACTATGTTATACACATGTACCTCCGTCAACTTAGCCGATGAATTACTTTAGCACTGCATTTAACAGTGTGTTCCTTCTTTTTTTATTTACATCAAGAGACAATTAGCTTGGGTAATTGATAAGCCAAAACTTATGTTTCTATGTGACTGGTTTTGTAAGAATGTATAATATTCTAATTGTGTGGTTTTATGTTCAGAATGGCTTGTTTATATCTAGAATGTTTACGTTATAACAAAAGTTAAGTTTTCTTTGCCAACATGAAATGCTTTAATTGGTTAAGGTTTTTGTTGATCTTTAAGTTAACTTTAATGATTACTAGAAAGTGTCGCAGTGCATGTTTTTGTGTTATTAATGAACTTGTAGAGTGCAATCTAACATTGAAGACTGTATGAATTAGAATAAGGCAATTAAATGTTAATAAAATGTTGTAGCAGTTTTGAAATACATTGTACTCTGATGTATTTGTAATTATTAAGTATCAAAAGTTTTTTTTTAAATTGTAAAACAGATTGATTTGGCATTAAATATGCTTACTCTGGTTTCATGCATTACAGCAAAAGAAAAAGTGTTGAAATTGAATATTTTTAAGACTAAATCCTTTTTACAGGGAAGTTGATTATTCATAGATATATCAACATAGTGTATAACTTATAATAGAGACCACCTAGCTTGAACAGTAAGCCTGAACAATATGAAGTATGGTATTTGGTTAAAAGAATGAGCAGATTTTTAAAACATATTTTTATTTATTTATATTTATTTCTATGCAATCATCCCGATCCTCCTGGGTATTTTTTCGTACAGGATATTTTGATTTTATACATTAATATACATGAAGTATTATCAATTTTCTCTTGTTTATTTACAGGCATCTGGCACTTTCCACAAATTGTATTGAAAAAATTGCAAACCTGAACGGTCTCAGTAAGTCTTTATTTTTACTCTAATTTTATAAAATAAAGAATTCTGTAAAGTGTTTGCTGAAAAATATCAATTGATTTAACTGATAGTCATGTGACTTTATAATTTTTTTCTTAAAATCAGGGCTGCAAGAAAATAGTTTTAAATCGCATTATATTATTTTTTGAAAAAATGATTATAGGAAAAATCGTTGCAAGGAAGCTTAAGAATGTTTGATATTGAATATATCAATACAAATATTTGTTCCCAGATTAAAGGCTTTGGAGTTGTTTATTATGTGATATAATTGAACATTAGCATAAACTATTTTTCTCATTTCCTTACAGAAAACTTGAAGATTTTGTCTTTGGGAAGGAATAACATAAAATCTCTAACTGGATTGGTAAGTGTATTTTTATGTGTGTGTGTATACCTAAGAATATTAAAAGATAATTCAAGATGACAATTCAATGCACATTTTGAATTTTGTGTGCGTTGGTTGTTTCTTAATATTACACTGTTCAGTATATTTATTTGAGACATTTACTAAGGTGTATCAGAACATTGGAGCCAGGATTCAAGTAGAATATCTGCGATATGCTTAAATTCAATGTAATGTTAACAATGTATTTTTACATTTAATATTTATAATATATGGATCATCATGTACATTTGTATATTTACAGGAAGCTGTAGGTGACACTTTGGAACAACTCTGGATTTCCTACAACAGAATAGAAAAGTTAAAAGGTGTAAATGTTCTTAAAAAGCTCAAGGTGAGTAAAATATTATATCTTAAAAAAAATTTGCACATTTCATTTTCCCACATCTTAACAGGCCAGTGATTTCAATTTGTTTTATCTGTTTGGGCTTTCATGTCTGAGTGATTAAAGTGGCTGACTTCAAATCATTTGCCACTCACTGTAAGGGTTGGAATCTTTTCAGGGACTTTGGGTTCTTCCATGCACTCAAACTATCCAGCTTGGTTATGGAAGGTATTATACTTATGTGCTACTTCATGCCAGAAATAAAGCAAAATTGGGAAGGGGGCATCAGTGGCCAAGTGCTTATGGTTATTTACTTCAAACCACTTGCCCCTCACCGCTTAGGGTTGGAATCCCAGCTGGGGCTTTTAATTTCTTCAATGTGAGAAAGCATTCCAGCTAGAACATAGGTGGTTCTACTCAGGTGCATATTGTGTCTGAAAAAATACACAGAAGGGCGCACAAGGTCTTCCTCCAATAGTAATGATGTGAATTTTAGTTGTCATACAATCTTTACTACACTAGAGGCAAATTTAATCACTTTTGGTTCCTGCCAGTTAATGTAAAGACCTCAGCCTAGCATGAATACATGAATTAGAAGAATATTTACTAACTTTTTATTTTTCAGGTTTTGTACATGTCAAACAATGAGGTCAAGGACATGAATGAGCTCGTAAAACTTGTAAGTATAAAATTTAAATTTGTTTTCATATTTTTTTCTTCTAAAGGAAAAATTAATGTGGCAGAATAATGAGATGGGTGTGTTTGAAATACCATTCTTTGACTTCTTGAAATGCATTTGATTGTTAATAGTTTCTTAAAATTTTGACCAGATATGTTCTGTATGACAAGTTTGTTAAGATATATTATCATTTGAATAACAATCAAGACAAACTGTAGAATGAGGAAGGCATCTTGCAAACTGATATATGGTCAATAATTCAACATAGATGCCTTGCTTGTGCTAGATATAATGCTTAAAAATAATGGTCATAATGTGTTTGTTATCTTCAGTCAAAGCTCAGAAGCTTTACAGTTGCAGGGTCGGCAAAATCTGATTTTGACTTACTTGTCCGTTTTTATGTGAAGCATTTTTAACTTGTCCGTATGATATTTACATAGTTAATTCTTGAAAATTTTCACTTGTTCATATAGGCTTTGGGACAACATGGGTAATACAGAAACTGATTTTGCCGGCCCTGCATTTCTCATCTTCAGCCAAAGCTTAAAGTTACCATATATCTTTACAGTATTACGATAACCTATAACCAGATAGTTTATTTATTTTTCAGGATGATTTGCCATGTTTGGTAGAGCTGGTTTTTACTGGTAATCCTTTACAGGAAAGTTTTGGTGATGATGCCACCTACAGGACAAAAGTTTCTGAAAAGTTGAAAAAGATTAAAAAGTTGGATGGTAAATTTAAATCTTCTAAAGTTTCCATTGGACATCTGTGTATTTACTGTTTGATATTAAATTTAAAGATATACTATGCTCATCTTTTGGTAAAATATTTTTATCTTAGAAATGCATTGAAATCCATGAAATTCTTACTGAATTTGTTTAATTTGATAAACTATGTATGGGAAGCTGCATTCCCTATTACGGGTCAAGTAAAATTGGTCTTTTCTTAAAAAAACTGCCAGTTTTTTTAAGGACACTATATATTCATATGGTGACCACATTATAGTGTGTAGAGTTCAAAACATATCATATCTACCTTAAATGAATTCGAAACATGTTTATTTTATACATACAAAGAGACTGTGTAGCAATTATTAATATTTTTAAAAATCAAATTTGAGCATAGTATATCTTTAAGCTTGATTTTTATGAAGCCAGACTCTGCCACTACTAGGGTTATATTTGAAAACATGGACTAATTTTTACAGTCCCAGTGTTAAAATACTGATACTAAGTCGACAAAGGCTTAACTTGGACTCAACCCATTACGGTACAAATTAACCAATTTGGACATGACTCAGCCCATTGTGGCACATTTCAATGCATTAAGGCATGATACGACCAATTGAAGCAAAGGCTAAGTTACTTTATATGATATACACAAAAAATGTAGTTGGAGAAAGTATTGACCTTTAAAAACTCCAAGTATGCCTAGATTTTACAAAACTTCTGGAATATGAGGGAAAATCATCATTTTCTCTATCGAACTATCACTCCTTTATTGAGGGCCCCTATATTGCTAGATGACAATATATATTTTTTCAGGTTAATTCATCATGTGTTTTGTAGGTAAAACCAACAACTTGTAATTCATAATGCCTGTTTTGTTGGTAAACCGCTTCAAGGTTACAGTTGTGTTGTTTTTTGTAAACCTGTGCGTCCTGTTGTAGTTTATCATATTTTGCTTTGGTTAACTATTTATACATGTAAGTTTATCGTGTATTTTACAGGTGTTCCAGTTATCAGAGAAAATGATGATGATGAACAATAGTGATGTTTAAATAATAAAAAAACAAAAACATTTTGTTTTCATGTCCTTCCAACAGAAATTTATTTCATTTGTGATGAGATGCTGTTCTAATCTGTTGTTTTGAAATGCTGAGCAGCAAACATTAAATGATGACATCATGTACATCTATATCTATCTTGGCATTAAAAAAACAACAACAAAAAACAATATTTAACAAAATAAATCGGTATTTGAATTTGATGAGTTTCTTTATTGTGGGTGAAATATATCAATTTAAAAATGTTGGGATCATCAAAAGTGTTAATATTAGAAATATTTTACTTGTTTAAAGAGAAAAATGTTATTGTTTTGATGTTTAAATCTTACTTTGTACTTTACTGAAGCTGGAGGATTTCATTGATTTTCACCAAAAATATTGATATCAAAAATATTTCACTTGTATAAAATGAAACTGAATGATGTTAATGTCTGAAATGAACCACACTGAAAGGTGAGGTTGATTTCTCCATAATTATTACCTAAATGTTGATAAACAGTATTTTACTGCTGTTAAGTTAAAACTGTGCTGGATTTACTCTTACTTATGTACATATACATGGAATAAAGTAATATTTTGAGATATTATCTAATAGTTTGTTAAATTACAGTCATTGCATGAATGTTAGGTTTTATACTGATATTCTACCTTAAAGTGGGATTATTGATTTTTTTTGTTATTTGTACTAAGTATTTTTTTCTTTTAAAAATGTATATATACAGCTACAGGCATTTTTGCAACATGTGTCTAAGTTTTATAGATAAGACTTCCCCCATTAAGTCTTGCTGACATTGATATATTATAAAAAGTTAGGTAAATATGTAAAGAATGGATATTTTTATCATAACAATGCATACTTTGTTGTTAATATTATATAATATATCATTTTGTTTCTCTGTGCTTGCTTTTTTGCATTGGTTAAGCATTTTAAGAGTTGCAGGGATGTACTGTAAAAAAAATAAAAAAAAAACATTAATAAAATATTTTTACAAATTCCATTTTCTTACATTTCTTTTTCATTCTTGAGGGAAAACTAAAAGAAACCAGTTGATTGACAAAACCCCCTCCCATAATTCAGCCTATACATATACATGTAAACCAAGCTACACCATTGGTCCGTACATAGTTCAAAGTTTAAAGCTGCATATCTTCAAATGAGCCAAACAATTTCAAAAAAATCAAACTAGAGAAATATGTCATCAAGATTTTAAGACAGTTAAAAGATTCAAGTAATAATTTACATGTTACTGCCTGGCGATTAACGATCTACAGCATGACTAAGGCAATAAGGGCTATTTTTGCATACACGTATTTTGACCTCTTTCTGGTAATTTACGTTGACTGCAATGTGTAAATTACTTTCTTTGTTCACATCACAATATTTTTCATTTTTCTTTGAAATACATTTTCAAAATTTTAAAATTAGCATGAATCTGGAGACCTACTGCTTTAAGGTTAAAACGCACATTCCAGTTAAAAGAAGGCCCCTTGGTCCATACTCGAAATGACTTTCGTTGTGATTGATCGACTCATTTGCCCTGTACGTCTGCATGATCTGGCATGTAAAGAAGTTATCAGTTCCTTGCGAAAGTGAAGGCAACTAGGTGACAGCTTACAAGGCGGCTGAACTGTGCTCTAGTAAATTCAATGTGGCTTCCTGTCGTGATCCGGATGGTAAACTACCAGCGGCACGGGCGCAAGATGCAGGTCAGCAGTACAAAGGTGAAGACTTTATTTAAAGATCATAAAACAAAAATCTTCCTGTGTCCAGCCTGTAATCTTGCAAATCATTGATTGAAATTTGAAATAACCTGGCAAGAATGTTCAACATTTCGGACATAATATTCTGATGCACACGTCAGTGACACGTGGTGTTGTAATACATAATTTGATGTCAATTCCAATGTTTGTTTTTCCGTAGCAACTAGAAATATATGACGTAACAAAAATGCCTCGCGCTTTTTATGGATGATTCCAGTTGCGGCATTGGCAGAGGGCGGTTAGGCATATGTAACCTCATAAAGATAATTTTAAGCGAGATAAATTTGTCTTGATGGCATTTAAAATAATTTTTGCATACAGTACCCAGATTTTGCAGTAATTGTTTAAAGTGCACCTTCAATTCATATATTAACAATAAAACTTTTGATAACATTTAAATAATTTTAAACACACTTAATGGCATGAATCTATATGACAGAATACCTCTTCCATTAATTCACATATAACCTTCGTTTTGACTTTATGTTTTTAAACTATTTTATATATTTCTCAGAAATAATTTCCCTACAAATTATCTCGTTATTCAAGAGTTCTGTAAATCCTACTCTTTTAGCTACAAAATATACCCTATGCGGTGTTATTTTCTCTCGCGAAAAAATATAGCTATTGTTTTTCCCTGAATATTTTCAAATTTTAGGAAGGCTATAATTATTTAGGACATCACTCTGTGTTTCTCTTTGACTCGATATCCCCTTCATATTAACATAGTATGTAACACTTTGAGTCTACAAAAAAAACTTATTGTCCCTGATTAAACGCTCCAATTCAATCTTATTCTTAATAACATATTTTTGTATCCCATCGGACCTGGTTAATTTAATTATTTTTAAATAGACGTGATACATACTAATGGACAGTATTCAGACAACTACAGAATTATGTTAATTAAACATTAGCGAAGAACCATTTTTTCAGTCTTCTAGCTAGTGTTCCCGTTCCCTTACGACGCGTTGCGGTATTCAACATACGCGCTTGATTGAAAAGCTATCTAATCAAATCACTTCATAATATTGCTCTTTTTCTCTTAAAAAGAATATAAAATATGGTAATTATATAATTATATAAATCTTTGTGTGTTATAATTTATAAAGCGGTTACTGATATTTCACTTCAAATGATTTTAAATTGATTATTTTAAATAATGGTTTGCTAGTAAAATTGCCTTTTCGACACCACATTTGTTCTCATTTTTTATTTAAATGATAACATTTAGCTATTGATCAGTAAGTAAATAAGAATAATCATTTTTTTATAATTACCGTGTACATTTCACGCTAATTGTGAGACGAACCCTAAATGACGTCTGTATGGGCGCCGCCATTTTGAAATGGACGTCACGTCAGCTTACAACGTAAGTCAACGGGAAAAAATATAATTTTAACATTTTGACCATATTACTGACTTTATGGAAAAAATGAAAAACATGCCTAGAGATATTGACGTCAGGGATAACATGACATTAATTTAAATGATTTCACTATTATATTTAATAAAAAATGGAATATTCAAATTTGGTGGGACAGACTATAGTGTAATATCGTTTTTAGCTCGACTATACGAAGTATATGGAGAGCTGTCCTACTCGCCCCGGCGTCGGCGTCCGCGTCCAAATTTCAGATTAAAGTTTTGGTGCAGTAAAATATTTTTCACTATAACTTTGTCATTTCTTAAGGTATCAACTTCAAACTTCAAATATATGTTCCTTATCATCAACCACATCTTATGTGACAAGGTTCATAACTCTAGCACCAGTTTTATCTCCCCTTGAACTTAGAATTTTCATTAAAAAATATTATTTTTTACTGTAACTTCTTTATTTCTTAAGGGATCAACCTCATACTTAAAATATATGTACCTTATCATTATCCCAATCTTATGTGACAATGTTCATAACTCTAGCACCAATATTTTCAGATTTATCTCCCCTTGAACTTAGAATTTTCCTTAAAAAATACTATTTTTTACTGTTACTTCTTTATTTCATAAGGGATCAACCTCATACTTCAAATATAATTATGTACCTTATCATCATCCCCATCTTATGTGACAAGGTTCATAACTTTAGCACCAATATTTTCAGATTTATCTCCCCTTGAACTTAGAATTTTTCCTTAAAAAATACTATGTTTTACTGTTACTTCTTTATTTCTAAAGGGATCAACTTCATACTTCAAATAAATGTACCTTATCATCATCAACATCTTATGTGACAAGGTTCATAACTCTAGCACCAATATTGCAAGAATTATCTCCCCATCAACTTAGATTTTTTTTCTAGAAAAATGTTATTTTTTACTATAACTTTTTTAGTTTTAAAGGTATCTACCTCAAACTTCAAATACTTATTCCTTATAATCAATTATATTTTATGTGACAATGTTCATAACTCTTGAAGCAATTTTTACAGATTTATCTCTCTTTGAACTTAGGATTTTCTTTAAGAAATATTATAACTTTGTTACTTTTTAACGTATCTACTTCAAACTTCAAATATATACTTCTTATCAATACATACATGTTGTGTGACAAGGTTCATAACTCTAGCGTGACTATTTCTAGAATTATTTCCCTTGATCTTGGAATTTATTTTAACAAATGTTATTTTTTTTACTATAACTTAATACATAATTATACATAATTGATTTTTCTTTCATAGTTTTGTCCTCCTTACTGCGTCCAGTATTTTATTAGTCGAGCTTTGCTGTCTCCTGTGACAGCTCTTGTTATTAAATGGCTTTATTACACTCCCGCGCCGCATTTTATGTGATAAATAAACATATCGTTAAAGCGCGCTATTGTTAGCGTTACACTATAAACGCGTCGTTGAAAAATTACTCATTTTAACAGTTTATTAGCTGTTCTTATTTTATGTATGTGATAAAAAGTATATTATATTCGTGTAGATTCAATACTAAATTTATTGAACTCGTTAAATAAAACAATATTATGCTCGCCAGAGGCTCGCATAATATGATTTTATTCAACTCGTTCAATAAATTTAGTATTAAACTACACTCATTCAATATTCTCTATTTACGTTATCATTTGGATTATACTTACCATTTGTCTTTTATTTTTTATTGTTTATTGTTTGAGTTTCCTTTTCTTTTCTTTTTCACAAATTTCGTAAAATTATTTAACAACTAAATTACATCCTATCACGTAAATGACATTTTTGCATATGAACATAATTACAATCTGGCATATTTAGTTTACTTACAATTTCACTTACCTGTATCATATATTCGTATCAAAAACATAACATTATTATTTTACATGATATAATTATACAGATATTAACAGACATTGTTTATTGATATAACAGCATTAACACTATTTATTTTATTCTTCGAACGAAAAAAAAGTTGTGTTCATGTATACGAAAGGGAAATAAGAGTGTTTGCCTTGTTTGATATTGTTTCGGATTTGTCTACCCTTTAAGGCACATGTTGTAATAAATTTCCAATCTAAAATAATGGTAAATTCAATACACACTTTTGCAATATACCATGCAAGTCTTAATGCTGAGCACCAAGAAAACAGGGGCAAACAGTTACAACACGGCACAACAAGATGATTAGCCCAGCTGATAGGGGCAATTTATTTTTCAAGTTAAGTGATTGTTTCTCTAAAGTTCACCACACATTGATCAGCATTGTATACGTATCAACAACCAAATCAAAATAAAATAGAGTAAAGTAATACATAAGAAAACATAAAAATGTTTTTCTTCCTTTGTTTTAATTACGAACCAATGAGACATCAAGATCAATATACATAAAAGCTGAAATCTGCCAAATTTCCTTTGAATAAGTCTATCTGTTAATTAATATTTCTGTAAACATTGTAACTTCCTCCAAAAATCAACTACTGATAGTAATTTTTCTCAGTTGTTTACATTTTCTTTCTCAGACATTCATTTAGAAATCTTATTGGTATTGTTTATATATTTGATGATAATTTAGATGCCCACAATCTTCCATTATCACATGTTCACACCACAGTCTGACAAGAATCTGGGGATGCTTTCGTATTCTTGGGCTAGTAAATTGTATCATTTTTACTTCTGAAAAATAAATGCTGGTCAAATAGTAATGTAAACGACACATATTCATTTATTAATGTAGCAGTATGTATACATATAATTACTTGAAAGAATGATAAACATGTTTTGCAATAAAATGTTTTGTTTTGTTTCAGTTTTGCATGTATTT